ACAATATAATAAAATACAGTAAAATACTGTTTTGTAGTGATACTATATTGTTCTATATACCGTAATTACTTATGTGACTCTGTACAATTGGTACAGAGTCACATAAGTCCCACTAATCATAACTCATATCGCAGAAAACTAGAAAACTTTGAGCACTTTCGGAAGTAACACATCGGAAGTAAAAAAAATAAATAACAAACAAATAAAATCCTCTCAGGGAGCATCAAAGTTAACAGGCTGATGTATGTATATAAGGTTGTTTGTACATACCCAGCACCCACGGGAGAATCATCCACTCGACGATGGTGGGTGGGGGTCCCTGCATGTGCAGGTTGGTGCGGGCGATGTGCTGTGAGGCCAGCAGCAGGAGGAAGAGGAAGGTCAGGTAGGACGCCGTGTGACAGATGAACTTGATGAAGGGTTTCTTGATGAAGTTTCCCAGAGCGCTCTTAGGAGCCAGCAGGTAGATCTGAGGAGAAGGGAGGCGGAGACAGAGGGAGATGAATCGGAGACAGAAGACGAGGGATGAGAGAGATCATGACAAAGATTAGGAACCAAATCAATGCTGGTGTTATTATTGACATTCTCATCTAGTTTATGCTCGTTTTTGCTAACCCTCTGTTTGGTATCTTTATTCTGGCGCAGATGTTCGGACTTTAGACGGCTGTAGAAGCACCACCGGACTGCAGTCTCTACCTTGATCCCACGCACTGACAGTCCCCCCACAGACACACTCATCTGGGACAAGTTAGCCTTTCTGAGACATTAGCTTAGCTACCACAACATGAATGTGCTTCTAGTGACTGTAGAAGCTCCAGTGGACTCTCTGTGTTTCCAGAGCGGACACAAAGAGTCTGACAGCAGCTGCTCATTAGCTCTGTTAGCTGACTACTACCTCGCTGTTCCTGCTACGCTGCTGTGGTCAGTCTGTCAGTCACACTGGTCGCTGTTGAGGTCACGCCCCCTAAGGTCAGTGTCCTTCGCAGAGAGGGAGGGAGCTAGCAGAACTGAACACAGACACAATTCCTCAAACTTCTTAGTGATATTATTTAACCTAAAATGAACCGTAAGAAAGGCAGTGACAACCATTTGCTCTAATGCCTCTTGTGTAGTTCAGATTTTTTAACTTCTGCTCGAACCGTGATGCATGAAGAAAGAGAGAGACTGTACATAAGTCGATGGCGTTCTTGCTCGTCACCTCGCGTTGTTGGAAAGCTTCGTCTCACACTGCTGTTACTGCTCGCGTTATTGCTGCTATGATGCTTGTTTACTTGTTCTGCTCATCTACTCGCTGCTGGCAACCTCAACTTACTCTGAGTCATGCCAGTGGGGCTTTAAAAGGAATTGAATAACAGAGAGAGAGAGAGCGAGAGAGAGAGGTGTGTTTACATGCATTATTAAATCGTTAATCGTTAGTAAAGACTTTAAGTGAATTACCTTACTCACATTAACAATAAAGTCAGAGTAAACACAACTGAATTAACATTAGATTACTCTATCTAATCATGTACTCTGTTTAGTCTGGTTTATTTTGGTATTTTTGAGTCCTTGAACGCACCACAAAGGGCACCGAGTTAAGTGAGAGGCAAAAAGGTGCAAAAAGATGTGACATTTGTCTGTTTTAACCTCTATAATAGTCTGAAAATAAGATATTTTTTACAAAACTGATATTTTGTAAGAAAATCTGTATATGAAATCATAAAATTGACCCTCCCTACAAAATGGTTTGAATACAAAACAACAATAAACATTTATATTTAGATCACCTTAACACTATAACTAGATGATTCTGGGTTGTAGGTGGAGGTAAACAAGCCGTTATTGTTGTGGTGGCCTCTTAATTGTAAATATACATGATAACACCTGAATACATATGTCCATCATGCAGGACGTGTTATTTGTTGATTCAGTCATCAAACACTGTTAAAATAATCTTTAGATTAGAATCTAAAAGACTTTTTTAATTAAATTTAGTCGAGTTTTAACAGATCTGCTCCAACAATGAACTTCAAAGCAGAATCCACTGGCCTTTGATCCATGAATCTGATTTCACTTCATCAACGTTGGTTTGAAACCACACACAGTCGGCCTACAGAGAGCCGACGGTGGGCCACCTCCCTGCTAAGCCCTTATTAGCTGGTACTCGCTTACATTTCCTGAATGAAAGTCCACTTTTACAACTTTTACAGGTTTCAGATTTCCATTAAACGTACTGCAGGGAGTTTTATCTGGTTACGCCTCTGTATGACCTACAGAAATGACCATCAGCGAGAAGACTATTTCTATGTAATTATTCTTAAAGACTGCCGGGTCAGGTTTGATCAGATTCGCCCTGAAACCAATGACAAGGACGAGGTGGAAACACTACCGCTTCTTTCCACAGGGGGTGCCAGAATCAACACAAAATCAAAGCTCCTTGTTGCTGCTTTAAAGGACGTCTTTCTTCTGATTAAAAAATCATGGATTAATACTTTGATGATTTATTATCACAGTGATTATTTACTCTAAATGAGTCATAATCAACTTCACAAGAGTGTTTTGAGCCTGAAGAACTTCCACATTTACACAGACTACCTTCATCTGTCGACTGCCAAACATAAACAGGGTTCACCCCGTCCATCTAAGAAATCATTTTCCAGGAGTTTTCTTGACGGCACTTCATCACAAGGAACAGACTATGTCTCTTCCTCCCTGCTCATTTCCTGTTTACAGAAAGTCTGAAAGTGTGTTTGTGTGTCGACTTGTGAAGGAGGAGAGCGGCTTCTTACACAGTATTCTCCTAATGACATTTCTTCTTTCAAACATCCTTCTTCAAAATAACAACAATAGTTCCTCCTTTCACTGTTTTTTTTTTTAGGTCGAGTGTTGCCTAGCAACGGCTCCTCCAGCCAATAAACATCTTGCTTAATTGCACCCTGAGAGCAAATTTACTTTGAGGAAGGAGACTTTCTTTTTCTCCTTTATCTCTTTCTATCATTCTTTCTTTAGCTTCCCTCCACTGATGCTTCCTCCCTCACTTCCTCCCTTCCTCAGCTCCTTTCCTCTCTTCCTCTTTTCCATCCTGCCTCGCTTCCTTTGAATTTTCCTCAATCCCTTCTTTCCTCGCACACTTCCTCCTCGTTACATTTATTTCCGCCTTTATCTCCCTATAGTTTTCTTTCCTTCCTTCCTCCCTCCTCCCTCCATACCAGTGAGAAGACAGGAAACAGGAGTCCGATGATGAAGCAGGTGACGAGTTTGACCGCCCAGTGTCGTCTCCTCCAGCCCGGGAAGCCGTCGTACCACAGCGTGGCCAGCAGCTGCTGGCAGTTCGGCTGGGCCACAAACTGAAGAGAGAGAGAGAGAGAGAGAGAGAGAGAGAGAGCAGGACACTGTTAGGAAATAGAGTTTGAGTGTCCTTTTCTTGAAAATAAATGAAGGGAACATTGTTATCAAAAGGGGAAAAAATTAGCAAAAAAACCCTGAAACCACAACATTTATCTCCCGCTATGACACAAGCAGTTTTAAAAGTGGCTCATATATCATTTTTTGGGTATAAAGCTGCTGATAAGAAGCAGCGTAACCTTCAAAACACAAAAAAGCTGTTTCTTTCTTTTTTTTTTTACGCAGAGCTCACTGTACATAACCTTCAAGTTTGGCCAAGTGAAATATTAAAATTGTTGCAGGTGTTTTGAGTTCATGTCAACCAGCAACTACTTCTTACTGCCTTCTCATTGGTGGCTGAAATTTACAGCTGGTGGTCTTATGAAGGAAATATTCACATTTTCAGCTCCAGATCCATTTCTGAACATACCTTTTTTCAAGACTTATCAGGTTGCTTATTTACACATTAAAACTATATAACACTAAAGAACATGTGTGCAGAGCCTTCTAAATCTGCTGCTTACATGTTAACATAGTAAATTAAAGTCTCTCATGTTGGCTTATACGTGTCCTACTAAAGGACAACTAAAGTAAACTACTTGTTCTTTTGCCTGTATTTGTTAGCACTTTGTAACTTTTCTTTTGATTTAAATCGATGATATTTTGGCTTTTTCTTTTTTTTGTGCACATTGTTGTTATTGGGCAACATTTGTATTATAGTTTTATTTCCATTCTAAAAGAAAGAATATATGTAGTACATTGAATACAGCATTGTGGGTTACACAGGCCGTTCTCTCGCACAGACCTGTTTCCAAACTGGCCTTTTAACCCTTTATCATTCTGGTAAAAAAAGCACAGTTTTTTTTTGCATTTCTTTAGACCAATCACAATCTTGGAAGGCACAAAGCCCGGGATGTAGCGACACCACCCTTACAAAACAGTGTTGGAAGATAGCGTAACATATGGAAGCTGAGAGCTAGATTTTTCTTCTTATCTTGAGAAAACAAAAGTCTGATTCCTCGTGATAATGAGAAAATATATAATAATAAAACAAAACTTTTGTTTTCTGTAAGATCACAGGATAACTGTGAGAACTCGAAAACGAGTGTCTGGTTCATTTGATCACACCTGATGTCACCCTTCAAGTGTGCATTTTGGCTGTTCCCAGATAAATATACCAGACGAGGAAATCATTTTTACAAACTTTATTCGTTCAGATGCTCCAGACTGAGCCCTGGGCAGGTAAATGCTTACAGTTTTATCTTCCTCCGTGAGCTGTTATGACAAACCAAAGGTTACTTGCTGCACTGAGAGAAAGGTAGCTGCTCTGTTGTTCAGGTCGCTTCCATTTACATCTCATTACAGCTCATCCACTAATACTGTTGGCATCGCACCAGAGGCTGTTTGTCCCCGTCAGCCCTTCAGCTGCTCTCTGAGTCACCAAGAACCAGCTGAGTCCTCCTTTCTGTTTGTCTTCCTTTTCTCTTCCTTCCCATTGTGTCATTCCCTTTCTTCTTCCCTCCAGCCCTCCGCTCCTTCCACCCATCCTCTCTGCTCCCATCTAATCTCTTGCTCTCCTGCCAACTTCGTTTTGTCTTATTAGTTTTTTCCCTCATGTCTGGGTTTTCTGAGCGATTCATCTGGTCCTTGTAGAGAGGTGTCACACTCTACACTTCAAAAAATATATATCTAGACAGTAAAAAAAAGCTTTGTTTCCAGGAAATGAGTCTTATATTTAGTCTAAAAAGAAATATAATCTTGTCAAGCATGTTTTGCATTAAAAAAGTGATCTTGTTTTAAGATAAGATATCTAACTTTGTCTTGATGAGCTATTACAGCTAATATTGAGCTAGATTTAACCAGTTCCAACAATGGTTTGCATAATATCCCAGCAGAGGAACATGATTATTTCATTATTTTAAGAGTAAGTCACCATCCAGTCTTGGAAATGATGCAGCTGTTTAGTTTTTTATTGTTTTAATAAAAAAGATGTGAAGGTGCCTTCATTTAAGACAAACTCATTTATTTTTATTATGTTTTTTGAAGAAATTGTGTCTCATTTTACGGTCTTTCAATGGCTAGATTTGTATGCTGGTTTTAGGAATTGTAGCCAAGATAAACTGCCTTACCCCACTGGCAGATTTCTTGCTCAATAAAGTTTATCCTTGTTTCTAGAAGGGCTGTTTTTGCAGTGTAAAAAGACTTGAGAGACAGTCTGTTATCCATCACATCAGCTGCGTGTCAGAGAATGTAAAAAGTGTGTTTTGCTAATAAACAAATGGGCCAGATAAACATCCAGCTCAATTCCTGCACATCCACCTTCACACAAAGACACACAACAACAACTGTTCAACCAAACATTTAGCTAAAAGCTTAAAAAGGCAAACTGCCAAAAAAAAAAGTTTAGGTCCGCGACTGAAGCTGTCAATCAAACGTGATGCTCGCGGTACTTTTTCTGAAAGGTGGCTGCACATTTCCACACTTCCTTGTTTTCTTGCAAGTGTGGGCTTGTTTCATAAATAATTGACCCTGCCACATTTTATTAGCTCAGCCCAGGACTGAGTGTCAGATATATCTGTGTGCGACTCTCACAGCTTCTAACTTTGCAGCATCACGTGGCGGCGTCTGGAAGGAGATACTAAATGTCACAAGAGATATTAACGGCGAGGCCCCAGAGCAGACGTCAGCCGTCCCTTGGTGTTCCTGCCGGTGGGTAACGAGGTATCAAACCCCTACAACGCTCCAGAATATGTTCTCACTTTCTATTAAATATGGTATGATGAAGGTTAGAGATTGTAGCTACGACGAATACATTTTGGACACATTTTTTTAAATCGCTGAAATCCTTTCTCAGTCCTTTTTCTATAGAAGTGATAAGAGACTAAATCCACCACCCTCGTTCTGTGCTGAAGTTAAAATGAGGCTTCAGGCTTCGAAGTTACAGTCTCTTCAGTCACAGATTCCCAGTATAAGTTTCCCCCCGACAATGTTTTCTGACTGAGCGGGAAGAAAAAGAGGAAATCTGCTACTGAAATGTTTCAAATGTATTTCTACGACAAAGATGACTGGATTTTGTCCTCAGTTGCTTACACTAAAAATAACAAGGCATCTCCCGAGGGTCAGTATAGACAGGAGGAATGATTACAGTCCAAAAACTATGTCAAATGCTAATTTCCATTCTAATTAATCAATGGTAATTCCCATTATCTGTTAGCTTTTTTTTTATACATAACCAATTCTGGCCTCAAAAGAACAATTAAATAATGATATTTATAAAGGTCCATTGTCAGAAATGGAATATAATATTCATTTGTATACCTTCATTGATGTATAATCACCTGAATATAGGAGTTATTGTGTTTTTGTTAACTTAGAATCAGCCTTTATAGCTACAGACACCGCAGGGCGCCATCCATGGAGGCCGCTGTGTTTCTACAGTAGCCTAGAGCAGACAAACACTGACTCCATGTAGGGCCTCTCAGGTTTTTTGCAAGTCACGCAGCCACTGTAGTTTCTCCGGCACACTTCACAGCCCGTTCTCATTCCCAGATTGTCAAATACAGACACGAACAGTGTTCAGTTAGCTGCAATCTGCAACTTCACCACTCGATGCCACTAAATCATCCACACTGGTCCTATCTTGATTGATGACTGATTCCTATCTTATTCTAAGACGTTTTGTAATGAGGCACCTGGTTAATATATTTAAAAATATTAAAGAGGAAAACATATATAAACATATATAAACATAT